AGATCATTGTGGTTAACATGCACCAAAGAAACACAATTACTCTGGTAAGTAATCATGTTTTGCTAGTAACTTCTTTGGAATAACTGTGGTTTTGAAAGTGATTCTCCTGTGTTGCTTTTCCACTGTATATAACTTCTGTTTACTCTTTGCCATCCTTAGTACCACTACTTGTGACCCAAATGCCTAAGCTGGGAAGGACTGAATTTTAGAGCCAAATGTATTTCCAAAGGAGCATAGGAGTACTTACTGAACTACTCTGTGTGCTGCTTTCAGCAGCTGCAATAGGATCCTATACAATTGCCTAGAAAAGATTTTATGGTAGTACACTTCAGGTGGAGGGACATGAAATGACCAGCTGAATTTTAAGTCATACATGAAAATGACTTGAGAATAATAGCAAAAGTCAGAAGGGTGAAAAGTGATGTCAATACGTATTATTAAATACTCTGTCAGCATGGGGCCAGTCTGAAATTCTTCAACAAACCTGTTTAACAACAGAGAAAAAAAGATAAAGTTTAGATAAAAACTTTTTTAAAAAAAAAGATAATTAAAAAAAAAAAAGAACTTACATGTTCTTGTTTTTTAATCCTATCCTATCCTAATAATTTGAGCTAATTTAACAGCTACAGAATGAGCTGTTCTTTTTTTTCCCCATCTTTGATTGTCTTTGATAATTTTACCTTACACAGTTTGAGGGTTGAATTAACACACTTAGTAGACTTTGGCCTTAAATCTGATCTGTTATGCTACTTACAGGATAACCAATCTATTTTAGACCATTCATTTAGTATCCTGAAAAAGAAAATTTTAAAAACATTTTTTATTTTTGCTTTTAGCAAAGATTGTTCTAGAGCTGAAGTGAACAGCCTTTTGTTTATCATTTTAGAATGAGTTTTTAGCATCTACGTCTAAATTTCATGAAACTGTATTCCATACCACATGCTAATTTAGTACCACATGGAAATTTATCTTTGCACACAAATACTTCTCGAACACAAGTGTATTTTAAAATGCATATATAATGCAAATTCTGCCTGGTATCTACTCTGGGAGATTTGGCAGACATAAAGGAAGTGAATGAGTTCCCAACAGAACCATATATTGTTATAATACTGCACATTAAAAATATAACATAATTGTATAAGCTGTAATTATATATACATTTTTAAAATTGTCATTGATAAACTAAAGGATTGACAATGAAGTTTTACTACATAATTATTATAATAAAATACTCTAAAATCTGTTACATATATATACATCTATTAAATAATAGTAAGTGAAAGTAGAAAATAAAGTATATGCATATATAAGTATCTTATAGTTCCTTGAGACCTTGAACAGTCCTTAAATTGATGGACAATGTACAACAGATTTTTATGCAGAGAATCAAGATCTGAACTAATTAATACTGTCAACGGAATTAATGAAGATTAGTTCATGTGTAGATGAGATCAAAATCAATTTATGCAGAAGTGCATTGCAATGTAAGCTCTGTCTTGCCATTATGCCATCATTTGGAGTGAAATTGGAATTGATTTCAGGACCTGAGTTATAAACTAAAAGCATTTAGATGTATTTGTGGTTCCACCCTAGCACAACAAAGGCCAAGAAGGCAATTTGTTAAATATTTGTTCTCTAAGGCAATTGAAAGAGATTGCCTTTAGTCATTAGTGTCAACCAGCTGCTGCAGTAGATCACTCTGTGCTTGGGTGGAAGACAACATAGTATTATTTTTCTAATATTTTGAAGTAAGGTTCTGATAATCAACAAATACTTTGTCACTGTAGTGATCAATAAGATTTTTTTTGAACATCTGACTCTTGCAGAGGGCAGAGACCAGTGGATGTCTGTAGTAACACAGTAATCAACCAACTGGTGTCCCCGCTGAGTGAAATGGAGAGTATTCTCTTTCTGTAATGAAAAACTGATGTTTATCTCATGTTTACTTGGTTTTAAATCACTGAAAAAATGAAGCCCAGGTGCTTATTTTTTATTTAAATACAATCCTAGCTACTTCAGTGAGATACCTGCCCAGGAAAACCTGAGAGTTAAGGGTGCTAGAACTTTGAAACTTGACCCTGAATAAATGAGTATTTGGTGTGTGTTGTGGAAGTCTGTGTGCCATGCAGACACTCCAGGACAACTGGGGACCATCTGTAGCAGCTTCCTGCCTCTGTGGCAACCAGAGCTATCCTGGAGCAATGATCCCCGTTGCTGTCCCTGCGGCCCAAATCCAGAGATGGGAGCAGAAGGCCAAAGCTTGTGTTTGGCATGAAATGGCACAGCTCACTCCAAATGTTTGCTGGCTGGCCACCATGTTGGGTCAGTGTGTTTCTGCTGAAGTTCCAGCATGTCCTTAAAGGGCAGGAATAGTTCTTCCTCACTTGGCACCTCAAGCTTTTTAAGGGCTGCTATTTGCCTCTTCTAAAACAAGTCCTGTTAAGCCTCTCTGGGCTGTAAAACATCATGGAAGCACTAGGGAGTTGAGATGTTTGCTGTCATTGGTATCAACAGAGTACAGTGTTCTTAATACAGGAGAACGCTTTGGTGCTGTTGCTGATTCATTCCCCTGGTTTTCACAGCTGAGACTTGCTTTGGGATTGCCCCTGCACTTCTGTAAAAAATGGTCATTTTTGTACACTGTAAGGTATACAGTGTTGCAATGAACATCATTAATTACAGGTGTTTAAAATAGTTTAATAGAGAAAGTAAATGGTACGCCAAGTTTGAAAATACCTCATTTGCAAGTTCTTACAAGCCACTGGAGTGGAATTTCTAGTAAGTCATGGCAAGGCTGATTTGGAAAATATGGGGGAAGCATTTCACTTTGTCAGCAAATTATAAGATTTCTTGATACACTTTCAGTATTGCCATCTGCCACAGTAGAAGCTCTATTTTGACTTAATGTTTTATATTGCTAAGAAAAAAAGTGCAGGTTCCATAAACTGCTCGTATAAATTTCATCTTGAAGGTTTTCTTTCTTCTCTTTTGACAGCTGAGCATCATTTCACTAAAGAGGAAAGTTAAAATCCTAGCACTGGGAATAGTTTTTTCCATTAAATATTTTCTCATCCTTCAAATCATCTATTAGGTGGTTTGCTTGTCCTGCATGGACCTTCATTGATTTCAGTGTTTAATTTATAAATAAATAATAATAATAAATAATAATAATAAACCAAAACCAAAACAAATCGGAATATTCCACAAAACTAAATTTTAAAAAAATATATAATTTTAATCTAAATTTGTAAAAGATTCCCTCCACCTCCCCTAAATTATTACATTATTAAAGTAAATCTGACAAGGTAAAGGAAAATTGATTTAAGTGAGCTATAAAAACAAGATAAACTTATTGCAAGTCAAGTTCTCCTCATCCAAAGGGAGATAAAAAAAAAAAAAAAAAAGGAAATATAGTGGATTGATAAATTAACTATATTAAAAGTAAGTTCTTAATAATTAAATGACAGATTCTGAATTTCAGACTATTTGTTCTTGCTCTTTTCAGGTTTTGAAATGATAGATTAGGACCAGAATCTTTGCCTTGAGTACTTGTTATCATTGATGTCCAGTTCACCAGCTCTGATGGTGAATGCAGCCAGCCATACTAAGAGAACTTTCCTATGCTTGTAAGTTTGTGGTACATTTGTCCCAGAGTATTTCTTTGAGAAGAAGGTAACGTAGTTCACCTTGTGATTAGAATGAACAACTATTCTACAGGAGCTTTTTTGATAAAGATTTATGTAGATAAACCCTAACATAGTGTTACGTAAAGCTAGGAACACATCTTCAATAATCTGTTATGTGCTATAAGGTTCTATTGCTCTGTCTTGTCTTCAGAAAACATGTAGGAATTTTGGAGTTTAGAGTAAATTGTGTATTGCCATCTTACTGGGGATGCCAAACTCAAGATTTGAGGGATCTGACACAATCTTAGTGCTATGAAATACCATTTTTGACAAGTCTAAGAGTGGATGGAATTTTTAGCTTAGTTTAGTATTCCAGTACTAGTTACGTTTAAAAAAAATGCTTAAAATCTTCACAAAATATATCATACATATGTGTGTTGTTAATTCTGCCATAAAATGTATACTGACTCCTGGGGTTAGGAATTAAGATCTGCTAACCGTGCCAGATCGCTGTGTACAGGTATTATGAATTATTCATCCTGTTATCCCGGTGTAATCACAATAACGTCTTGGTGCTAATTAGCAAGTGATGGGCTGACACAAAGTCAAGAACACCCAGGAGATATTTTGTATAACAGTTATTCTAATTCTTGCTGGTAAATATATTTTCCTGCTGTTATAATTTTTTCTTTATTTAATAGAAACAGGTATTATTTTGGGACCCTTTTAGTTATTTAAACATTTATTTAAAAAACAAACAAACAAACAAACAAAACTTTTAGGATTAAAGTGAGTTGAGAGCTGAAGTTCTCCAATTAAGTTGAAGAAAACTGTCTGCAAGTTTTCCTTGCTGTCACTAAATTACTTTGTAGTTTTCCCCTTTCTTCTATTACCGGTAAGCTTTATTGTGTGATATTAATAGGAGCTGAATTTATCTTATTTTTAATGAATGCGGAACACCCAAATGTGGAATTGTAAACCATAGCATTTGCTACGTTAATTAAGGCATTAGACATTTGTACATACTAATATTTTTGACTTTAGGGTACACAGTTTAAAATGGCTAGTAGATTTCTTTTGTTTAACGTGAGTGTAACTTGTGACTCATTTTTTCCCTTTCCCACTGTTAAGTCAACTCTCAACATTTTTTGTTTGACTCACTGTTAGTATGTATCAGTGTTCATTGAGGGGCTTTATCAGAACTCAAAGGGCATTACTAATTCACCTTTTATCGCTGTTCCTTAAAAATATCTGTATTTTTGAAATAAGACTGCAGCTTGAAACACTGCTTCATTAATGCAGATAATTTCAGTCTCAGAGCTAAGCCTGTTTAAAAAAAAAAAAAAAAAAGGAAAAAAAGACACACACACACGGTCCTATTTGTTTTCTTCTCTAGCAGTCTTTTTTTCTTCATTTTGTGCTGTCCGTGACAAGATTTCCTTCCTTCCCCACTCTCCTTGAAGAAACACAGTTTGGTAACTACATGAAGATGTAACTGGTGGGTAGTACCACTCAACTGTATTCTAATGCCCAACGTAGCCTGAATTTTGCTTTACATGCACACAGCTAGCTGTTCTCTGAGTATCTTTTAGTTTAAGGAGAAGGAATAAGAGGACCGAAGAATAACTTTGTGGAATTGATGCTGGCCTTGTTTTATGTGTTTTTCTTGATGTTTGTGCTTCTGTTCATCGGTGGCGTGAGATGTTTTTCTCCCTTTCCTCTCCTCCTCCCCTTTTCCTGTTTCTCTCCCTCAGTCACCACATCCTTCCTAGTTCTGCTTATCACTGAGATTTTTCATCTCTCTCTCAGTTCTCACCCTCCTGCCTGTGATTAAACACCTGGAACGTTTCCAGCCTGATGACTGCAGAGTTTTGCAATGAAATTCCTTTGGGATTTGCTGCAGTAAGGCTCTGCTTCTTGAAATGCATTGCTCTGAAGGAGTCAGACTTTCTGTATTCTAATGCTCATCTTTGTATAGATTTTGAAAGTACTGGGCATATTAAATGCATCATTGCTACCTGAATAGCAGAGGCCTCATAGTAGGAAACTGTTTCATTATTACAAACTATATAAAATCCTTCCCCCAGAAAACTATCTTCCTTTTGGCTGAAATATGTGGACAACTGAACTGATCAACATTCTGATACCATTGACTTTTGAGATTCTGCTTTTGGAGGGTTAGCCTGAAGCAAGAGTTGCATCTGCTGCTATGCACAAGTTAGGTAGGTTTCTAAACCCCAGTATGTGAAATTTGGTTCTGAATAGTATTACTGAGGTTTGTCTTAGCTTCAGCTGTATTAAAAAAAAAAAAAAATCACTTTTGGTGGAAAATGTCATAGCTACAACATTACATTGCTTAATTGCTATGTTACAATGACAGTTGCTACATCTGATTCAACATTAACTCCTGAAATGAATGGTGGAGGACAATTATCTGTGGAAATTAAACTAAAGATTTTGCATAAGAGAAAATAAGTGAATATGTCTTGCTAGATAGAAAAATACTCTATGATTGACTTTGAAGTTTCTTCAATACCATTGTCCTAAGTTTTTAGACTGCAAACTGTCCTCAAAAGGCTCTCTGTTTTGTTAATTTATCTTTCACTCAAGGCTGTGTACACTGATAAAACATTATGTATCAATAATGTCAGTTTCCTTGCCAAAAAGCCTTTTTCCCAGAGCTTTTGAGCCATTTAACATAAAGCTGCCATTAGCATTGCCCACCAGCTGAGGCTGTCTAGAACGCAAAGACAATTGAATCAGAAAGGACATTCATACTCAGTAAATTGAAACATTTGAAAATACTGGAAGATCTAGAAATTAAAGAGATGGAACCAATGCTCTTTAATTCCTTCTTGGTGAAGGAGCTTTCAATCAATGTTAAGCATTTTCATTTGTAAGTTATTCAAGTTATGTTGTCTTATATTTAAGTGCAAAAGAAACCAACAAAATAACAGCAAAAAGAAAGAAGAGGGCAAATTAATTTTCTTTTGAAGCCCTGTACAGGCAGGACTGTATCATCAAGGTATTAGCATTGCTGTGAATGAGCACCTGAGTCACTGAGAGAATGGAAATGTATCATAAAAAGTACCTTGTATCAGAAAACGTAGCTAGAATATTCTATATGATTTGAGCTAGTGTCTCTCTGGAGGCTTCTGGTAGTTTCTTATAGACTGTTAAAAGTCTCACCATCTAAATCAGCATTTAAGCCATGCCTGCTGCACCTAAACTTCACGTGACCATGCACGCTCTCGTTCAGCAAGCCTAACCTAAATAATGTAATATCAAATTAGATAATGCATTTAATTTTTTTCCAATTAAATAGTAGTTCAGATTCCTAACATTTTTCTTATTCCCTCTGTACTTCTTTCGGTCTCCTGTCTTCATTCTCTGTTCCTGTCCCTTGCCTTTCCTCTTCTCACAAACTAATTTTTTACTGCCTTTATCTTTTATTCCCTGCTCTTTCCTGAGTCCTGGTGTCCTCCCTGACCTCTCTTCCCACTTTAAATACTTTCTTCCTGGCCTCATGGAGCATCGCCATGGTGACTGCATGATGTCACTGCACTGGGAACTGTTGCCCAGGAAACTGCGTGATGTCATTGCGGAGACAGTTGCCATGGTTACTGAGGTACCGGGGAGAAAAGGGGTTGTTATCTCACAGATGGCAGGAAATGCTCCCATTAATGGCAACAAAGAAGATGCTTTTATTTATGTATTTCTGTTCCAGGGAGGGCTGCCTGTGATTCAAAGTCCCCGTTCCTTTCCTGATACAGTGTGCTCAGTTTGGGTTTTCATTTGGTCTGTGTGATTCTGCTCACCTATTTCTATCGTTAAATGTTACTGTGAACATCAAGACACAATAAAAAAGGGGAAAAACCTACCTTGTCCAGTGCTTCTGTGTAGTACGGATTCCCACCTGTCGTTGCTCTTTGCTTTTTCCTATTCGTTTTCTTTTGTTTCTGTGATGAGCAGCCCAGCCCAGCTGTTATCCCGGCAGATGTCAGAGGTGCACTAGCAGTGAACGTTACATCTCTGAGCTTGCTTCATCTGCCCCAGGCTCTGTTTCTCTGAAGGGCAAGCTATAATTTGTTTTCCACTTCTTTCATGCCTTTACCAACTTTTGTTTCATCACTGTTAAAATATGCCTGCTTTTTGTTTTTGTTTTTAGTAATTGCAAGAGTTCCAGGAAATGCCCAATGCGAAAGGTGAAGCAGGAGTTAAATAAAAAGTAGGAGCAGCTATTAGAGATATGCAGGTATGCAATAATAAGTTTGTTAACCCTCATTGTGTGCACAGAACAATGTGTAAGCATGTGTGTGCAGCTAATGTTTCGTGTAAGGATGTGGGAATGTAAGTAGCGGTAACCATGTGTCTTAAGTCTGTGCATGTGATGTGTAGATCAGTAGCTCTGACAGAGTGTTGTGTATGTGTATAAACATACATATAATTGCTCTATGTGCAGATGCTCTAGAGTTCACTAGAAGCTGTGCTTACAGGCTTGCCATTAGTTAACCAGGAAACGGGCCATTCTCTGTTGCTGCTGTGTTTTGAGATCCTCAAGTTGAAAATTCTAACTTGGGTTAACTTCCAATTACTGCAGAGCTGAAAACAAGAATTCTATCAAAGATACAGAGTGCTAGTAGCAGGCCAGGTATTGGGATATTGGGACTGAGAAATTTTGGAGTTCTGAAATCTTGACTGAAAGCCAGGTCTCCTGAAATGGTGGGAGGAGACTGGAATTGAGGTAGCAGCTAAATTTTGGCAACACTGGATGAGGAATGGTGGAGAGAGAATATAACTTCATTTGGGTGGAGGGGTGGGAGGGGGGGGGGGGGGGGGGGGGGGAAGATATAGAGAGCAGAATTTCCAGACTTAGTTATGGGGGAAAACAAGGGAATGCCAATTGGGATTTTTTGCTGTTTGTGGTGAAGCAGTAAAGATATTTCATTAGAATTTAATTTTGTATTCCTTTCCTCATACTTTGAAAGTACTATTTGTATAAATGTATATTTGCTCAGTATACTGCAAAAAGTAATCTCAACCTCTTTGCCAAAGTAACTAAAAGGAAATCATGTTTCACATCTCTATCTAGGTAGGGCTGCAGGAAACAAGTTATAAGAGATCAGACGGCAATGAGATAAAACAGATAACGGAGGTGGAAAGCAGCAGTCAGTCAGTGTGGAGAGGTTCATAACAGTCAGGTGAGAGACATAATCACTAGCCAGTGTTTGACCTGTGTGTAAGTTCTTAAATTATAACTTGATAAGTGTTTAGTTAATCAACATGCAATGGTGGTATTGGGATATCAGGTCTCTTTGTCCATTTTGAGCTAAGGGACTTGCATCACTGTGAAATGTGGGTCAGTAATCATGCAACTTTCCTGGACTCTAATGGACTAGAACGATTTTATGGTTGCTAGAATTAGGGTACTGTTGAATCTGATATTGAAGGGATATTTAATTTCTGCCATTAATGGCCACCAGTGTTACTTGTCCTGTTAAATGAGCTTCAGAACGAACCCTGAACTTGAGTTTGTTTCATTTCAGCACTATACCAGACAATGTGAGATTATTATATTTAAATACATTTTAAACATTTATATTTGGGTCATATTTTTTGTTAAAGTATGAGAAAAATCAAGAAGTTGGAATCTTTTTAACTGTCAGAGAGGTCATGAAAAGGTTTGTGAAGCTTATATCTCTCCAAATTTTGCCTGGAATCGGCAGTCAGATTCATGATTCATTATCCATCTGTCTGTCCTCTCATCTTTCAACGTGAGATTTTTGTAAATATTTAAATAGTAATTGTATGCTGTGATACAGCAATACTAGAGACCACATACTGATAAATAAATATAGACTTATTTTCTACCACTGTCAGCCAGCTGGGATATCTGTATGTTAAAATCCTGTGTGTAGCAGGGGGAGGCACCATGCCGTGCTGCAGGAATGACAATCCCATGAGCAATGTGAGCTTAGTTTTTGCTGGCCAATGCTTCCATCTACTGGAGATCTCTGTTCTCACAGTATTCATTCTGTGCTGTATTCTGAGATCTAGTCTTGATAGTTAAAATCCTCCAAATATTATCATGTATAAATTACAGTATATAATAAAAATAGTTCCTCTTGTGATATTAAGTGGCTAGCACAAAATGCTTTTACATGCTCTTTACATTTGAAAGATGTGTAATTGAATCAAAACTGTGTTTTTTTCCTGAAATGCAGCATTTAAGACAGTAGTAATATAAATGAAGGTACAAAATTTAAAACTATCTTGCTGGTGGGTAGTTGTGTGATTTGATAATAAATACAGAATTTTCAGGAGGAGACTTCAGAGCCTGTAGGATTGCTCCTTTATGCTTTATGAGCAAACAGGATTGGCGTTGATGTCCATTGAGACATGAAGTATTTTAGTATCAAGACTAGAAAAGTAGACTCAGTATTACTTACGCTGCTACAGTACATCAGAGTTTGCCTGTGCTTCATAAGAGTCACTGTAGGAGGCAATCAACACTGCTGTAGTCAGTACTGATTTGCCTTTCAGGGGAATTAAAGGCTTTTTTTTTTCTTCTGGTGGCTGAAAAGAAACACCACAAATAGTGGATTTTGGTTTTCTTGTTAGCATCTCCCTGATTCCTTAAGCACCTTGAAGTGTTTGATTAGAAAATTTAGGAATAAACTAGTTTCTGGAGGAACTTACCTGTAACCCAGCTAAAAATACTTCTCAGCCCACCTTTCTCTGTGTGGTTCTTCTCATTCTTCCCTGCAAATCCACTGATTTGTTGAAAGACCAGCATGGAATTATTATCCCTGTGATATTTATTATTCTTATCAGGCTTTGTACAAATAAGAACACTGTAAAATGTAAAGAGAATAAATACTTTTGGTTCTGTGTTACTGTTATTTATGACAGTGTTGTTAAAAGTAATAATATCAGAACACCTTTGGACTTGATACAGTACTGTTACAAATCACAGAATCACTGAGTGGCTTGGGGCCATAATAGGATCTAGTTCCAACCAGAACCATGGGCATGACGCCTCCCAACACACCAGGTGTCCCAATGGCCTTGGGCACTTCAGGGATGGGGCAGCCAGTTTCTCTGGGCAGCCTGCTGCAGAGCCTCACCACCCTAACAGTAAAGAATTTTCTCCTAATATCTAATCTAAATCTGCCCTTTTAGTTACCTCTTGTGCTATCATTACACTAAATGTAACATTTTTATATGTAAATTATACACAAAATTTACAAGTTTATGTGCACTAGATAAATTTTATAGGATTTTATATAAACTATCAATCTGTGTATACAGCATAATCACATATGATGATAACATACAAAGTTACTAATATAAATAAATGGTCATTAGCACAGTGCCTCTATAAAAAGGATGTAATGTCAGTGCACCTTGCCCCACCTACATGCAATCTGTGCAGTTCTGTGCCCTTTGGGATCATTATTACAGTGAGATAAGTATCTTCATTTGTTCACGTGAAATCTTGATGTGCTCCCCATGTTGGCCTTCAGTAATTAACTTTGTAGACTACATCAGCTTTTGAATTTAACATTACCTTTAAGCTTTTTGAAATACCTGTGCTTGATAAGGTGTTACATTGTTCACGTGTTTAACTTCATTATGCAGGAGCCAGGAGGCAGGGAGCTGGAAAGATGTGCCAAAGCACAGGAATGGATTTAAGGGATTAAAATATATGCTGTGTTCTATAACATTTTTTTAAAATTACTAGAATTCTAGGAATTTTAGTCTTGAGATTTCCATCAGTTGTTCTTCCACTGTTAAGGAAAAATAGTTCAGGATGTATTCCACTCCATGTGTTATTTGTAAACTGATCCTGTGTGGGGATGTTTCTGTGCTTTTGTAAAATTAAACAGCTCCAGATTTCTAGGTAGCATATATTCTGACCTAATTGTTGAGAATGCGGGGGAAATGAGTCTGTAAATGGTAGGAACACTATAGCCTGTGTCTGAAGTGGATAATTCATGTGGACAAAGAACTACTGTTCACCTTAGCAGCCATCAGAAGCTGAGTAGAAATAACTGAGCTGAATATGCAGTTAAAGAGATTATGTGGAGCCCAAAGGCAGAAACTTAAATGTTTTTAGTTTTCCTTGTGTTGTTAGTTCATTTGTAGGAGCAGCACTTTCAGAAGCTGCCATTCGTAGTCATTTAAAATAAGAAGCATTTTCTTGGAGGTGAAAAACCAAACTGAAACAAAAAACCCCACCTGACAGTCCGTCATATACCTGCAATATACATGCACCTAGAGGTGGAAGGAATGCTTTTCTCTGCGTAATCATGCGGGAGCACATTCCACTGCTGATGTACGTGCTTTCGTCCTAGGGGTGTTCTGACTATCAATATCTTTATGGCTTACATGCTATCTAGAGCTTTAGCAGATTGTGACTTGTGCAGGCAAGTCTGTGCATTGTGAACTGAGCTTTAATTAAAAAAAAATCTTTTTACTACCTTTGAACTCAGATGACTCACTGTCAGTGTCAATGGATATATGTGCTCTTGCTGTTTCAGTTTTCTTAGGAAGTTATTAAGAATTTAGTAGTCAGTCGGATTGTAACTTATAATGTTCCTTGAGAATTTACTTACAGTGGCCTCAGTTACCTCATATGTGATGTGGCTATAACTTTAGACAGTGACGTATCTTGGAGAAATTGTATAATGCTTGCAGTCCTAGGAGGTGAAGAAAACAAAGAGGTTGCGATGTATGGATGGATGTGATTCAAATAATAAATCAGTATGTGTTTTTTGTTTTGTTTTGTTTTTGAACCAGCTTCCTAGCAGGTAAAGAACATGAATATAGCCTTGTTGCACCACAGTTGTCTGTGACTAAATCATAAAAGCTCATAAGAAATTTTTCACTGGATAAATTAACAGGCAGAAGATGTTTCAAGGTAGTTTTTCCCTGAAGAACTTATTTGTGCAATCATAAGCACAGTAAGATGTTCCTTAAATTTGAAGATAATATCGGTTATTTCAGAGGAAGAAAAGTGTGTATGTACAGGAAGAAAGAAGGGTAGTTATTGATCTGAGCAGTTGAGTCATATGGAAATCAATTTACTTTTCAGTTCCTGGAAACTGAGCATTGCAGCTGGTTATTTATTGTTGTGTTGTATGCTTTCTACCTGTGTCACTGATGGAACAGAGAGCGCTTCTGCTCTGAAGCAGAAAGAGCCTACAAATTGGCTGCTCTGTTAAACAGGGAATGGTTTAGGTCAGAGGTTGGACTCGGTGATCTTGGAGGTCTCTTCCAACCTAGGTGATTCTGTGATTCTGTGATTCTTTCAAATGGCTGAATGGTGCAATGACAGCAACATTCACTGGTGATACTTTGTGACTGATGCCTCATTTTGCAAGCTTTACGGAACTTGCTGCCTTGTACACTTCGATGATGCTCTGTTGTATGATGTCAGTTCTGGTTTTGAATATAACTCTATTAAATCTTGTCAAGTGGCAAGCAGATGTGAATTCATTTTCATGTTCTAGGTGTCCAGTTATACTCAGCTTGGCACGACAGTAGTTGGGAAGTCCTGGTTACAGTGGTCAGTCCTGGAGTGCTCTGACTGAACAAGCAAGAGAAATGAAATAGGGTTATCTGTTTACACAAGTTTGTCTGTTTTAACAGTTTTGCTATTTTTTCCCCTGTATCAGCCGTAGTGGTTGAGTACCTATCTTATTTACTCATTTCTGTTCTATTCAATAAGGTTTGTAGAGAGATCTTTCACGCCAATTGTTCCATTGTGTATTTTATGCTACTTCCACCTTCTTTTCTTCTCCCTATCTATTAGATCTTGTTTCCACGTGTTTATTAATCCTTTCACTGTGTTTCTTGTGTTCAAAAGGAACAATAGAGAACTCTTTTTCTGTGTTTGGAATTATTTCTTTCTGAAGGTTTTGATTGCTTTGGGTAAACAAGCCAAATGGACAAACACCAGTTGTAATAATGGAAAGAGGGGAGGGGGGTCTCCTTCTGCAACATAAACCACCTTCCCCTCATGTCCCTAAAAAAGGACATGGTGGAGAAAGAAAGGACCTGTGGTGTCCTCTGAGGAACACTCCAGGCCTGTCAGTGGGTTGTGTTCAGCATCATCCAGAGAACCTCTGTTGCTATCTGCGGTGTTATAGCGCCAAAACTCCCAAGCCAGGAAAGGAAGTTTCTTTTTATTTTATTGAGTCTCTCTGGGTTGTGTGAGTGAATATCTCTAGAACTGTGTCAGTGTTTCCTTCCTCATGTTGTAGATTTTGGAGCATTTCTTAGCACCAAAAATTTAATCTGTTTGCTTTTCATAGAGGCTCTAGAGACAACACTTGAAGAATAAACCCAACTCTCATGTCACCGTGCAGCAGAACGTTAGCACCACTTTGTTTCTTTTTTCTGTCCCTGGCTCCACAAATAGTCTCAGTGGCACAGGAGTCTATACTGACTGTTAAATCATACGTAGCTTCACCATAGTTAAAAAGGTCTTGTTACGTGTATCTGAATCCACACTGAAAACGTAAAAAGTAGAAGCTAACTCTAATCCTACAGAGCTCTTTTTCATGTTATTTCTGGTACTGCTGCCAATGAATGCCAAAATGGGATACAGTTTTCGGTAGCCTCCTTTAACTTTAAGCACTGTGGATTACTTGTCTATATATATTTCAAGGTACTTATGGATCATGTAGTTATGCTCTTCACGAGTTACGTGAGACACTCTGTGAGTAACCATCTCAGAATGTAAACAAGTTAATTTTCTGGCACTTCTCATTAGAGGTTCAGAATCCTGCCACTTTTTGTCTGTTGCTGTTTTTATAGTGTTATGAAGATTGGAGTCAGCCAAGATTTACGTGGTGTTAATTAGATTACTTACTTCCAGGGACATGACAAAAAGTGTGACCTTTTCAACATCATTTCCCACCTCCAGTTCCTGCTAAAGATTGGTGTTGACACAAAGTTTTTATGCTGTTTTTTCCTTCTTCGTAATTACAAGCTAAGTTTTCTGGGAAGGTGGACAGTTCTTCCATGCTCGTTTCTTTCCAAGTGCATGCCTTGTTCTGCAGACATTTTATTTCTATATATACATATACATGTATATATACATATATATACATGTATATACATATACATGTATATATATGTATATATATGTATATTTGTGTGTGTGTGGTGAACAAACAGAAATTGTTTGAAGACCACTTAATGTGAACATTTGCAAGGCGAACTGTTTGTAGAATGAGCTTTTTGAAAAAAAATTAGCTTTTCTGAAGTGCATACGAAAGTCAGAAAGTACTGCATTGTATATGATGATAAAGTAGAGTTCCCTGCCTTTCGCTTTCTTCTGATTTAGTTGAAAGTACTAGAAAGATATGAAGTCTTTGCCCAATCAGTGAAACAATTGGTTTATCAGTATTGTGTAAACAATGCATGCAATGAGCGAGTAATTTCTGGTGAGTGCCTGATAAAGAGGTAGGCATCCACATCTCTTCATGACCAAGAACTTTCAACTCCCATCACTAAAACTATTCCACTTCAAGTCTCCTTGAGGCTTTAAATTCCTGCAAAGTGAGTTTTCTCCTCTCTGCCAGGATTGGTACCATCTACAATAGGTTTGAGACCATTCATGGGGTGGAAGGAGAAAGCAGTAGTTGCTTGGATTAGAGGACTGCTTTTTAAAATAAAGAAGTGATTGTCTTTTCCAGTATTGATTGTACAAGAAGGTTATGGACAATTTTAATAAGAAATCTGTAATGCCATATTTTATTTTTTTTTTTGATGAAGAGGAAAATCTGAAAATATGTGCAATTAACACTTCAAAATAATGTTATGAGATAATTCAAAATCTTACCAAGAAGCAGAATTTTCTGGCACTATGAACTCCTAGTCCATTTTTTTGATTTTCTTTTCAGGTTTGCAAGGGGAGGATTTATATTTCTTATGAAATAGGATGTTAGATGCACTTAAGAGTGGCAACTTAGTGATCTCTGCTAGCTTCAGACATGTGAGTTAGTAATGCCTATGCATATTCATCAGAAGAATGATTTTTCATCAGTATGGTTTATGTAGTTTTACATATGCTTTGTTGTGGATGTAGGATACCCTCTTGTGATCTTTAGATTTGCCAAAGCACGTTGAAAGTTCTGAAAGAAAGAGACTGCAGCCTATTTCCTGCAACATGTTGTTCTGTAGGAAAATATGAAACAAAATCAGCAGCTTGTTTTTTCTCTGATTTCTTCAAGGTAAAGCAAAGTGCAAACTTACTGGCTAAACTTAATTCCAGGACTATAATCCTGCTTTATTTTTTCACTAGGACATTTAGGTGGATAACCAGGAATTTAATGGAATCATAATGATGTAAAATAAGTGAGGTTAGTCACACAATGTTTCCTTTTGATGGAAGAAAGACCAATCACTGACTTACGTGCAGTGTGAATCTTGCAGATTCTAAAAGCAGGAGACTGCAGTTTGAGCAATTTTATAAACACTAGGGAAGGCTCTCAGTCTTCTGCCAAATTACCGTTGTGGTCCTTGCATTGTCAAAGGGTAATTCATAATGTTTTAGAAACCTTGTCAGCTGGAATCTCTGGCATAGCCCTGTACACAGCACACATGCAAACCTTATTAAAAAGCACATGATGTGTTTGTTGCCAGGGAAACATAAGCCATTAAGCTCTAGAAGCATAATTCATAAGAAACAAATATTAGCTATTAACATCTACTTTCTCCATTAGTGCCATGAAACCTATATGAAATAGCCTTGCAGTCTCCTAGCTAATGGAAATGACATAACTGGAGAATGAAAAGGTGAAATGAGAAATTATAATTCACCGAGCTCTAAGTACAGACAGAGTAATGAGAATGTGGGACTGGGCATGTTTTCTTCTCTCATGTTGATAATACATTGAGCACCTGGTTATCCTGCTCATGTTATTGAATATTATGACTCACATTGAAAGCAAGCCTTTGCCAAGCAAAGAAAGAACAGGTCTACTTTTCCCAGGAGTCTTTCTGGAATATGAAAATAAAAATATGAAATATGAAAATAAAAGCTAGACATGGGAAGGAGAATGGAAAAGTATTTTCTATTGTTTTAAGTTTTGATACTGAAATCATTTTAAATTTGACTTACGGATTTAATATCCCCTTTAATATCCATTTTCTATTCCATTATAATTGGCTAACACAATGTGGTTATAGCTTTTTTAAATTTTTGTCTTTTGGTCAATCTCAATTTGATCTTAAAGTCTAGAAGCTAATTTCTTCATCTTTCTCTTTCTGGTAATTATATTGGATTAATTACTTTTTTAATATTCTGCAAAGTTCATGATAATTTTTTGTGAAGAATTCATCGTAGCCACACAGGCACTCTGTGGCAAACTTTCACTGTGCTTGTGTTCTGAGAAATATTTCTAGCAAAAAATGAGGAGGGGAGTGAATCTGGCTTAATTTTTGCCTGGTCTAAACAGTTGTCACTTCTGAAATGCCATCCAGGACCATGGATAGTCAGGACCCTAAAGCTGGCTTGTGTTACTCATATGTGGTGGCTACCTTTGTTCAGCTTGAAGATCAGGAAGTCAAAGTCATTACTGCTCTTTACTCCCAGCTGTTCCATTGATTTTGAACCATCCTTTTTGAGAGGAGAATTAACGTTGTCTGCGGAAAAAAAAGTGTTGATTTTACCATATTGGGGTAAAGCTAGCAAAAAAACGAGATTTGTAACCTCAGGCTCCAAGTCATCTAGAGTTTAATACAATAAATCAACTACAGTCAATTGAAGTCCATTGTAGCTTTGCTCAGACTTTATTCAGGCACCATGCCTGCGGCTCCAAAGAGAGGTCTATATGAGAACTGAACAAATAGTGACTGGGTGCTTCCAGACTTTGCCCCCACAGCTCTAATGTAGTTTCAGTTAGCTCGCATGTAGTTTCTGTTCAGATAAGTCACAATGAAATAGTAGAACTGGAGTATACCCTGCTTTTTCCTGGGTTTTATGGGACTTTCCCTGATAGCAACTTCAAGGATTTGGCAGTGAGTGAATATTAAGAAATGAGCATATGACACTGATGACTTTTTTTAGTGGTGTGATTGTGAGAATCTGCGTCAAAACTCTGGTTTGTGAGCCTTTGACAACCTATGTGAATGCAGGGATAAGCCTGCAAAACAGCCTTGTGTAGTAGGGTGGTCTTTGAAGAACAGGAAACACTGTATCAGAGATCTCAAGATAACATAATTTAGCTTGAAATGGGCCTCCAGAGATCATGAAGAACAGGCTGAACTTTGAAGTTAGATCAGATTGTGCAGGGCCTTGTCCAATCAGCTGTTGGAAAATCTTCAAGAATAGAGATTTCTCAGTCTTTTTAGGCAACCTTGTTTCAGGGCTTAACCACTCACACTGATTGTTTTTTCCATGTATATTAAGTCATAACTTCTCCTGCTGCAATCTGTGACCATCGTATCTTGTCCTTTCACTGTGTACCTCTGAGAAGAGTGGTTCTGTCTTACCTGTAACTGCCCTTCAGATATTTGATGACAACAATTCAATTCCCCTCCCAAAGCCTCTTGAGGCTAAACAAATTCAGATCCCTCAGTCTTTCCTCATGCATCATGCAGTCCAAGCACTTAAATATTTCAGTGACCTTTCAATGTACTCTCAATTTATCAGCATTTCTTTGGTGCAGAAAGGTCCCAAACTGAACGCAATGTTCAAGGTGCTGTCTCACAAGTATGAAGCAGGGTTTGCTTCCATCAGTCTGCCAGCTGTGCTTTCGCTAATGCAACCTTTTATGTCCTTAGCCCTTGCCAAGAAATGTTGCATTTGCAGACTCATATTGAGTTTGGGTTTCACTATGATCCTTTAGCTTGTTTTATGGTGATTTTTTCTCCCAGGTGCAGGACTTGTGTTTGCTTGTGCTGAATTTCACAAGGTTCTTGTTGACCTATTTGTGCAGCTGGATGAGATCTCTCTGAGTGGCAGCCCTGACTTCCAGTGTGTGAATTGGTCTCTTTAACTTAATGTCATCTGTGAACTTGAAGAAGGTGCATTCTATTCCATCAGCAAGCCCGGGTTACTGATGGTGTTAAACAATATTGACCCTGATACAACCTGCAACCAGCTTAGACTTTGAACCATTGGCCTTTGAGCCTAATGGTGCAGCCAGTTTTTCACCTACCCTTTTGCTCACTTATCCAGTCCATACGGCCCCAATTTGACTACAACAATGGCAAAACCCTGCTACTCCATGTTCACAAAACCAGTTATTTTATTGTAGAAGGCAGTTGGATTTATCAGGCATAGTTTTCCCTTGGTAAATCTGCAATAACTGTTCCCAGTCACCTTTTTGTTCCTTTGTGTGCCTGGAAATGGCTTATGGGAGGATGTGTTCCTCTTCAAATATGGAGAATTCTGAAACTTTCCAGGGGTACACAGTCAATTTCAGTAGCAGAAATTACTGTTACAGCAACAAGTTGGCCAAAGTACTGAGAAAATTGTGCCTTAATATCTGAATAAAGCATTGTTTGTCTTGTAAGTTGGATCTGTGGGAAGGCGGATTTCTAGCAGCTCAAGTCTGATGCGGCTCATGTGTGTAAACACAATATCACAGCTGTACATGTCTGACAGCACAGATGTCATATTTATACTAGCTGATAGCATGGTATACTAAAGGATACACCCAAATGTGCTGCATCTTGATATCGAGTGTCCCCCTATGAAATAAAAAACGTGGAAGTTTGTGGAGAAGTTTATTCTTTGAGATTAGTCTCCTTCAAGTTCAACATCAGGAAAAAACACTGGGCTGCTATGAGGACACATGTGTTTCATGTGTGCCTGAATACTGTGCCATTTTTGACCTATCATCCCCAAACACCATTTGCCATGCTGTAGCAAAAAGCAGCATCAAACTGCTTAGGAGCTCACCCATAAATGGCTCTTTTCCTCTGAAAGCAAGCAACAGATATGCATGCAGACTCCCTTTGCTGAGAACACAAGCTCCTGCTTATCATGGAATATACCTAGTGAAAAAAGGGCAGACAGGGAGGTACAGTGGGTGGAGAAGGCTGCACAACTGCAGCTTTCTTTAGATGCTGACAAGACAAGCAAGTCAAAGTTGAAGGGCTTCAGTTTCTCAGTGTATGCAGTGTCTCGCTCTGACTAGAGCATCACGATTATGTGATTGTTCTTCAAATGTATGGAAACTGAGTGGAAAGAGGATTTTGGAGTGGGAGAGACATTGCTTATGTTATTTGATGATTTGGCAACGTTGGTACTAAACAGTGAGAAGGGAAGCCTTGGCACCTGTGACTGCCATTGTTCTGTTTTCAGGCAGTTTGGGGCTTTAAACCTACTGTTGCAATTTCAGAAGTGACATGAGCCAAGTGGAAGTTTCTTGACCCATTGGTATGAAGGCATGCACAGGTGCTAGTGGTAAACTTTCTTGTAGCTTGCCCCAGCTGGAGAAAATTATCTTCACAGTTGGCCACAGCTTTTCTTGATTCTCACTGACAAGAGTTATACTTTTTCTGTCAAACCACTGGACATTATGAGGTCACTGCTTAGTTTTGACATGGTTTAAAGTAACATGTTCAGATTCACTGAAGCATCAGATCATGATGAGAAGAGCCTTTACACGGTGAAAGGAGTCACCCTTCTATTGCTGCCAGTTATTCTGGGCTTCTAATGAATTATTAACAAGTAGTAAAATAATAGCCACTCTTAATCAGTTGTGTCCTGTGATTGTGCAGAACAATTAGCGCTCTCTACCCCTTGTGATCTCTAAGAACAAGGATATATAAAAGTACCAAGAAAGGTAATTTGTAATGAATGAACACGTGAAAGTAGCCTCTTATGTTTGGAGACTCAGCTTCTTAGAGATAATCCTATTACTGATATGCAGGAAATCTCTTGGAATTTTTCTAAGTTGCAACATATAAATGAATATAAAAATGAATGTTTCTAGATGACAAAAGAATTCCCAAAAGCTACATATGTGTTTTCCAGCACAAAATCTTCAACGTATTATTTATATAGATTTGTGGTTTGCTTACTCTCTAAAGCATTCAGATCAAATTTTATCTGTGAGCACAAATGGAAATTCAAGTTCTTAATTGACCCTTCAGCACTACACCCAGAATGTCCTGGAATGTTAATCTCTCCTTCTATCAGTGATCTTTACCTGATGTTCCTAAAACATTTACACTTCTTTTGCATAAGCAGATCTTGCTATTCTGGGACTAATCACTGAGAGGAGATTGTGAGCTTGTACTCACAATGTTATGTAGCCCCTCTGGATGTGTTTGGATCGCAATGGAAGCTACATTCTTATCTGGGGTGACTCTGGTACTCAACCTGATCTACATAGGTAAGTCTTAATGTCCTCAGCAAAGTTTCCAGTAAAGCAACATCCTGAAGATATGAAACTTCTTAACTGACAATTAGAAATGTTCCAAATTTTACACACCCTTCTTAAACATAGTGTACTGCACTTTGCAACAGCACCCCAATCACAAGTTCCACACCTGAAATATTGTGAAAGTAAAGACTAGTTTAAAGCTAACAAACATATTGCTGTAAGCATATGTAGAGAACCTGTCATCAGTACTTCACTTCCTTGCCCAGTTACCACCCAGTTCACATTAACAATCTTTAGTATGTCCTAGGTTATCATGAATTTATTCATCGATCCTTGTTTCTGATGGATTGTCACATATGGATTTTACATACTGTGTTAGGTGTAGCAGGCTTCTTGGGAATAGGATTACTGACACAAGTGATGATGATGTTAAAAACATGGTAATTATTGCCACAAGTATAAGTAATAGAGTAAGTATCGCTGCTGAGTTAGGTGGATTTAGTTACGGCCTCTTCCATGTATTCATTACCAATGATGCTGAGTCTTGAGGTTTCTGGCAGTTAAAGGGGCTGTCAAAGACTATTGAAGGCCATGGGAGTTTTTTCTTTCAGCGGTGTTGCTTGGGTAGTAAGTGAAGTTGATGCATCTTGATGCTAAAAGCCTTAGTATGCTCTTATTGATTTTCCACTTTGTTTTCATCTCTGGCTACAAACGGCAAAACTTGAAATGTTAGATCTAATAGATCTAATATGACAACCTTGGGGAAAAACTCTGGGCTTTTAGGTGGAAAAAAAAAAAAAAAGGTTTTCTCTCTCCCCTTCTTTCAGTATTGGCATAATTTGCCTGTAGGTGGTTATATTCATGTTTCTACTTAACATTATTGAACTGAATAATTTGATATATGGTACAAAAGATGTATTTAAGATTTCAGCTGCAGACTGTGCAGTGGATTGAATGAATGAAAATATTACTGTAATTACTATTTTTGGTAAAAACGTTCAATTTTTGATGAATACAAGCATCATAGAGCAAGAGCTCAACACTGCTGAGGAGAAAAGGAGAAAGATGTATGGCTAGGTTTTTATTTCTGTTGTGCCGATCCTGGGATGTATGGTTCAGGAATGCATACAACAGCTTCAGGACATTTGTTCCCTGAGGAAGATTTCTTCTAATGGAGAACATCCATAACTGAGTATCACTTCTATTCTCTGTATTCTGTAGCGGTTTGGGGAATACCTGCTCATCCAGTTAGTCAGGCTTTCTGGGTGTTTTGAGTTGTCAGATAACAGGAAAGATACGGCTTTT